CATTATATCATTTTTATTTCGTTTTTTTTTTTTTTTTTTTTTTTTTTTAACATAAGCACAGGATAAGTCTTCAAAAGAGATGCAGGATCTGTGGAAATGAAGAAATGGCAATTACTTAGAAATCGTGGGTGAGCCTCTTTGTCTGCGAAGTCGACACCTAATACATGAAGTGTAAATGTGTTTGTTGCTCTTAAAATGTTTTTTTTTTTTTTCATATTTTCTTCTCAAAAGAGTGGACTGCTCTCCTCTCTTTTCTTTCTCTCTCTCTCTCTCTCTTCTCTCTGTCTCTGTCTCTCTCTCTCTCTCTCTCTCTCTCTCTCTCTCTCTCTCTCTCTCTTATTATCATTATTATTATATTATTTATTATTATCATTATGAACATCATTATCATTATTGTTATTGTTTTTACTATTTTTGTTATTATTATTATTATCATTATTCGTAGTAGTAGTAGTAGTGATATTGTTATCACCAGTACTATTATTATCACTCTTATCATAATTGTCAAGCAATTATTAATCTCTGTCCTGTTTATCATTACTATTGTTTTTATCGTTATTTGTTTATCATCATCATTTTTTATTCTATTATCATTTTAAATCATTTTTACTGTTGTCATTATAATTATGTTTGTTATTTCATATTATTGCTATATTATTATCATTGTCATTATTGTTATTATTCCACTATATCATTGCTACCATTTTCATTATTTGAAATGATATCATTGACATTATCTTTATTACATTTATATCATCTTCATCCTCATTTTCATCTCCATTATCATCATCTAATCCTTTTCACTCTCATTATCATTCAATCTTTCTTCCCTTTTTTTCGACGGCGGGTCATTAGACAATGAAGCATGAGGTTTAAAGTTTTTTTTTTACATGACTTTACTTTCATTTGGAAAATGTCGCTCGAGGGAAAGTCAAAAAAAAAAAAAAAAAAAAAAAAAAACGAAGTCCACCTTGCCCACCCCTCTTCCATCACAAAAATGAAGAAGGAAAAAAGAAAGAAAGAAAGAAAGAAAGAAGAATCCATCTTAATAACGAAATGGAGAAGACTTTAAAACACGAATTTCATTCCTGTGGATTAAGCGTATGAGTAACCCTTTTAACATAATTATCTTGCGTTTTAAATGTGCGTTTTGAAAGATCTAAGCAGGAAAACATGTAATAAACATGCATGAAAACATACGGGAGACATGTACCATGCGTGAAGTTGACTCTTACATGGAACTGCCTAGTTCTCTTGCTCTCTCTCTCTCTCTCTCTCTCTCTCTCTTTTTCTCTCTCTCTCTCTTTCTCTCTTTGTCTCTCTCTCTCTCCTCTCTCTTCTCTCTCTCTCTCTCTCTCTCTCTCTCTCTCTCTCTCTCTCTCTCTCTCTCTCTCTCTCCTCTCTCTCTCTCTCTCTCTCTCTCATCTCTCTTCTCTCTCTCTCTTCTTTCTCCTCCTTCTCTTTCTCTCTTCTTCTCTCTCTTTTCTTTCTCTCTCTCTTCTCTCTCTCTCTCTCTCTCTCTCTCTCTCTCTCTCTCTCTCTCTCTCTCTCTCTCTCTCTCTCTCTCTCTCTCTCTCTCTCTCTCTCTCTCTCTCTCTCTCTCTCTCTCTCTCTCTCTCTCTCTCTCTCTCTCTCTCTCCTCTCTCTATCTCTATCTATCTATCTATCGTCTCTACTATATATCTATCAATCTTCTCTCTTCTCATTTTACATAGCCCCTCTTATTGTTCTCTCTCTCCTCCTCTCCCTCTCCTCTCTCTCTCTCTCTCTCTTCTCTCTCTCTCTCTCTCTCTCTCTCTCTCTCTCTCTCTCTCTATTATCTATTCCATACTTTCTCCTTCTGAAATCCCAGTCAAAAAGAGAGAAAAAAGGTTAAACTCACATAATAAAATATTCAAGAACGACCTCCATCTTTTCTTACAGAATCTTAGCTCGCTTAGAACATAAGCNAGAGAGAGAGAGACAGAGAGAGACAGAGAGAGACAGAGACACTGACAGAGACAGAGACAGAGAGAGAGACAGAGACAGAGACAGAAAGAGAAAGAGAAAGAGGGAAAGAGAGAGACAAGAAAGACAAGAAAGAGATGGGGAAACGGGATAGAATGAACAGCAGAGAACAAGGAAAAGCAGGAAAAGAGACAGCCAGAGAGAGAAAAGAGAGAAGGGAGGAGAGAGAACAGGAAACAAAACAGAGAACAGGAGAGAGAGAAAGCGCAAGAGCGAAGACCGAGACAACCCGAGACAGATGATCGGAGATTATTAAGAGATAGCATAAGAGACGAAATAAAAGAGCGCGGAAAGTGGGGGAAGAGGAAGATGAAGATGTATAAAAGGGAAGGGGAGCCAGACGAGAGCGGGAACAAAGGAAGATCACTAATTAAGGCGATAAAACAAAGGCCATGCGGACGGAGGAGCGAAAGTGGATGCAAAGTGACACGGCGGACGCGAGAGGGAAAGCACTCGCGCGGGGAAGAGAGAGAGAGAGAGAGAGAGAGAGAGA